CACGCTTTGACTTAATTAATTTCGACTACATCATCACCGGTTCAAGTATGGAGTAGTCAACCACGAAATTCCCGCGCTGCAGGAGGGACTCATCACACCTATAACTAATAACTAACCCACGAAAGCTAGATAGGTAATAACGACCAGCCAAGAAATTTCTGCCATGCGCATTTTCTCCGCTATATCGTACTACCTCCATTAATAAATATATATATGACGTTTAGGACAAGTTATTTAGTTCAAAAATAAACTAATTTGGTTGTCCTAAACGTCATATATTTCATGAATGGAGGAGTCTAGATGCCATGGTTTCTGATGAAACTACTTAGACCAACCAAACCGTCTCTTTACGTTCTTCTTGTACTAGTACCGTCTATATATATGCATGTCGAGCAGCTAGGCTCGTCCAAGGTTGCAAGTAAATCGATCACCATCCCTAAAGCTCTTTAACTCGGGCAATACATACACAAAATCTAGGCCGTTTCAATCAGCCTCCCCAGGGACTATGAGCGGCAACGAAGGTAAGCTAGCTAAACACCGCGCTTATAATTACATGCATACATTCCGTTCCCCTAGCGCCTATGGCGTGCTCTAGCTACATCTCTGCATGCCTGTGGTTGGATGGCTGCTTTACTTGGTTGATTGAGGGAAGACGAGTAGAAGAGGAAGCCGATTCATTAATTGTATATATGCGTGGGTTATATTTTTTGTTTTGATGAGCGGCAGGCAAACGGGATACTGATGCATAGGGCGGGAAGAAGGGATTATTAGGAGGCGGAATTTATTTCCGCCCAAACTGCTTGTTTGTCTACCTGTCACGTATTGTCTGATTCATCTGTAAAGGTAGGGTTGCTCACACTCTACCTCAATTTTGTAAAGGCAGAGTTGCTCATAATAATTGTAGGAAGAGATGTAGGGTGAAGAGTGGTGGCCACGGCGCCATCTATACCTTTTTCGGTACTATTGCCAATGCGTTGCATAATCAGGAAAAAAAAAAGAAAAAGGCATTTGATGAGTATTTTGGCATAGTCCAACTATTGTATTTTGGCTGGTTGAGTCAACCGATCCAACGGCTCATCTACTCTTTCCCTGTAAACTTATCATTATTACCACCATCTATCATATTCTCTTGACTCCTCATGCCGCCACCGCCACTCCCTTTGTAGTTCTTACACGCTAGTTCCCACCACTCGCTGAAGTCGTCTCCGATGCCTACAAGGATGACTCATGAGTCCAAACCTCCCCCTAGCACCTACATCTCATTTTGGGCTTCCTCACATTCTTCAATGATTATCTCGGCGTCTGTGCACAACCCCTTCCTGCCACGCCGCCCTAATTAACCTGCCGAGGCATGATGCCATAGCCTATATAGGCACAGCACCCAACCCATTGCCCTCTCCCTCCCACGGTCGGTAGTGTACCCACCACCCTGCCCCATGTACACCACCATCGGCATGATTATTATCTGATATCAGCATGCACTCATAGTGTTTGACGTCAGTTCAATATGCAATGCTTAAGAGCACAGTATGAAAAAATAGCTGTTATATCAGAAAATGAGTCTGTAAAACCAGTATAAGGAAAAACACATCCTTTCTGCATTTGTCGAGGCATAAGTTGTACACAGGCTCCAAGGCCGCATTGCAAGGCATGTCCAGGTTCCAATCAGTCATTTTGTAGTAAATTTGTGGCAAAGGAAGGAAGGCCACAGCATCTCTCGGGCTGTAGTAGTCTCAACAAGCACAAATACACAGTAATAGAGTCATAAAATGTAGAAGAAAACTTCCAGGATTGCAAGAACCACCATAAATAAGCTCATGCATCTGAAAGTTATAGAAAGCTGAAACTGAAGAATTTAGAGACGTTCATCCAACTTGACATTGAAATTAAACTATATAAGCTGAACAAGAAAGCATTGATTAACATCACCACACATTAACAAGTCATCTGTTCTCTAAAGTTGTGCAAGATTGATTTGAAGTGCAAAAGAAATCCATTTTGTCTAAACAAGCAGCACATGCACATTTATGCCTTTTTTTAAGTATATCTAACTAAGACCCCTTTTAAATCTTCCAAATAGAAAAAAAGGAAAACACTGCTAAATGAGGAGCATGGTCTGACCCCGCCTCGTGCTAGTTCAGATTTCTTGACCTCGGATCACAAGTGAAGCCAGAAGCCTACTTTACATTTATCACGGTTTGTTATTTTTTATATTTACTGTAGGCTGGTTTCCTACAAGTCCAAGACTTCTCCCATTATCAGTAAGAAAAATTAATCCCCAACTATATAATAATAAATATATGAAACAAAGTGTCGCCTTGACAGTAAGAACAAATAAAGGAAAAAAGTGCATAGCCAATAACATAACTCATGTGCAAAAAGCAATGGTTTAACACATTTTTTCTTCTCGTTAGTTGCCCTATAACAAAGTATCTGACATCATATTTATCTTCTCCTACTGAAAACAAAAAATAACTGAAGCTTAGTAGGAAAAATCCTGCCAAGATACTTTGCTATGCCTCAATGACGGCTGCCTCTAGTCAACTGAATTGTATATTTTTTTGGTTATTATGATCATACATTTTTTAGAATTAAAGGATGGACCCCAGTTCGATTGCATACCAGCAACAGAATAAAGATGCAAACAATTGTTTAGGGACTGCTACTTGTGAAACAGTTAGGAACTTAATACATTTCAACAGTTGGTTAGTGCATGAATGAATTCAATTGATAACAATATCTGTATTGTGCCCCAGTATCTCTCAGAAATTCACTTTCGTGTCAAAAACAAAACTATCAAATTTTACCCTTTTCTGGCTTCATTTGGTAATAATAATTAAAAAATACACCAAACATTAACGCAGCAACGCCCAGGGATTCACCTTGTTATTCTTAGGTTGCTGCATCCATAGTTTGTGCGCCATTAGTAGAAAGCAGCAGCAGCAACACAAGGCCACGGAAGCCACCACAATTGACTTACTTAGGCAGATTACAGTGCCAACAAAGCCCTGCCCGCTGGCCATTGAATATTACACACAATCGTTATTATTTGAATCATTGGAGAAAAAAAATATTCTAACTGTGTTTCCATATTGGCATCCTCAACTAGAAAGTTAGCACATAGAAGAAGCAAAATTCACTCAAGGGCACTTTATTACTAATTGATACAGTATAATTTTGAGACCCAAATTGTCCGAAATCCATGCTAAAAGCAAAGGAATACGATATTCAATTCACGCGATGCAAAAAATCTGAGCTTAAAAGCTGAGAGAGAAATTCACCAAATTAAATATATTCTCTATCTTAAATATCAGTATTTATAGATTAATTAACCTTTATTTAGTAGAGCGTACTGTAGCCTTTTGACATTGTAGGCCAATTTTGTGGTGCATGCTAGTATATATCACTTTTTGCCCAGGGCCAACGCAAATGGCAAACATTGAACGCGGATGAGGTGTAGACAGTTGTGTGGTGCATGCTAGTATCGCTTTTGCCCAGGGTGATGGTGAGGCAGGGTGCCGCTGGAGGCAGAGCGACACCGATGGGGAGTTGATTCGGCGGGATCGGAGGTGGTGCAGATGGATGGCCGTAGGTACGGTGCACTAGCTTTTTTTTTGGGTGAATTACATAAGTAAAGACGCTGACGCTTAACACGCACACACACTCACCCCTATGAACACACGTACACAAACCCTACCCCTATGAGCACCTCCAAAATAACTGTGCCGGTGCACTAGCTAGGCAGTACTCCTACTTGGAACGCACGGGATCTATTTCTTGTGGGGCCAATGCAAAACCAAGCAACCGTCTCGCACACGTTTAATTTCCACATGAATGTATGCGTTCATTTCGTCGATCGAGCCCCAGCAGCGAGCTCAGAGCAAATTCTCGTTGGACGTACGTACTGCTCGATCTTCCTCCAGCAACTAACGCGCCTAGCTTTAATTTTTCTCCAAGTAAAACCGTTGCCGCGTATATATGATCAAATCAAAGTCATGTACGCATGCATGCGCGGCCTAAGCAGTACGTAAGAGTAGCACATCTCATCTCAGGATCTTTTTTTTCTTTTTGACGAGGGGCATGTCCTACTGGTATGGTGAAATATAACATTTCTTTTCTGAGATGTACGTATTTTTGCCATAATCCTAGCTACGGCGAAATTGTACTTTTGCCAAACCATTTGGCAAAATTTATTCAATTAATTTGGGCAAACCGTGTGGCAAATTTTTATATTCATCATACCAAATAGCGATGCTGTCGATCTTGATCAAGCCGGAGTTGATTTGAACAGCCAGCTGGGTTATACGTTGAGATGATACCCATGATATATGAACAAGTCTCCATGTCATATTTGGTGGGTTTCACAAGCTAGCGCTGCCGAACAAGGTCCAATTAAACTGCTTGAGGCTCCTGTTCGGAGAACTCTTTTACGACAGTCCCTCGCTCGTCCAACATATTCTAGACATTCTACGAATAATTTGATGACGTGGGGCCCATGAGTCATAGGTTAATTAAACCATGGGGTATTGGTAATTAAATAGGCACAAACAAGGTTTAAAAAATAACATGCCTCACCAAATATTATATTGCACCATGCATGTGTTGGTCTCATGCCTCATGAATATTTTTTCTTGTAAAAATCATCAACCAAAAAGGCAGGATACACGTAACTATTATTAGGGAATTGTTAGAGATGAGGAAATACTTAAGGTACCATTTGTTTTCGGAAGAATATATGTAATGGACGGACCTAGGACAAAACATGAGAGGGCACACATCAAGAACAAAGAGAAATTAACATGTGAATGAAATTCATCAATGGGGAGCCCTGAGTAAATCATCTGAGCTGAGGCTTACATGGTGCTCCTTTGCAAGCTACTATAATTTTCAGACAAAAAATTAACGAGGGCCATGTCCGCCTAATAGTGGGTTAAAAAAATGTCAACTATTTGTGGCTTGCTTTGTTTTCAGGAAGTCCTTCTGCTCGCACTACGACGACAATGGTGAACAGATCGCTATTTGATAAAATTACTGAAACTGACATGAATGAAGCGCGGCAAAAGGCGCTGCTTAAAGAGGATGACTCACTCGGTCGTCAAGACCAAAGTCAGATGTCCAAAAAAGACAAGGACATATTAAACACGTTGAAGCTAGGTCTAAACCCAGGTATATTGATGTTGAAACATGATGTTAGTTTTACTCTAGTATGTCTCTCTATCAAAGTTTAGTTGGTATATATGAGGCTATTTAGATGCTGATTAGTGTGTGATGACCCTCCATACTAGCTTTCTTTATACTTTGATGCTCATTAGTTTGTCCATACTGATTAGGTCTTCATACTGCCTTATTAACGTAATTATTTCCATACTAGCTTTCTTCATACTTTGATGGTCATTAGTTTGTCCATACTGATTAGTCCTTCATACTGCCTTATTAACGTAATTATTTCATAAAGTGCTGGTTTATGGATTGGGACAGTGAGAGCTTAATCCGGTGCCTGCTGCAGATTGTATCTTTAGTTCAATATTTGGTTATATATGGCTTGTCTTGCTAAGTACCTTGCTCCTTTGCAATCTACTATAGTTTTCAGACAAAAAATTAGCAAGGGCCAGGTCCGCCTAATAGCGGGTTAAAAAAATGTCAACTATTTGTGGCTTGCTTTGTTTTCAGGAAGTTCTTCTGCTCCCACTATGACGACAATGGTGAACAGATCGCTATTTGATAAAATTACTGAAACTGACACGAACGAAGCGGAGCAAAAGGCGCTGCTTAAAGAGTCCACTCACACTCTGTCGTCGAGACCAAAGTCGGATGTCCGAAAAAGACAAGGACAGATTAAACACGTTGAAGCTACATCTAAACCAAGGTATATTGATGTTGAAACATGATGTTACTTTTACTCTAGTATGTCTCTCTATCAAAGTTTAGTTGGTATATATGAGGCTATTTAGATGATGATTAGTGTGTGATGACCCTCCATACTAGCTTTCTTTATAATTTGATGCTCATTAGTTTGTCCATACTGATTAGTTCTTCATACTGCCTTATTAACGTAATTATTTCCATACTAGCTTTCTTCATACTTTGATGGTCATTAGTTTGTCCATACTGATTAGTCCTTCATACTGCCTTATTAACGTAATTATTTCATAAAGTGCTGCTTTATGGATTGGGACACAGTGAGAGCTTAATCCGGTGCCTGCTGCAGATTGTATCTTTAGTTCAATATTTGGTTATATATGGCTTGTCTTGCTAAGTACCTTTTTTCTCCTATATTGCAGAGTGAAGATGGTGGGTGCCTCTTCTCTACCTGCACTTTGGAACTAGAAATCATTTGTACCTATAGTCCTAGCATTTATCTTTTATCACTTATGATCTATACCTGCACTTGGTTTTGCTTAAACATACTAGCATGATACTAGCATGAAAAGGTCATGGCTTTGCTTGAAGCAAGTACAGCGTGAATTTTCAGTGTGAGATGCTATAAAAGAATTCAGTACCTGGCTTTGTTCAGTGTGGATGATTTGTACCAGGCTTTTTTCACCTGAGGCAGAATGCTACTATAATTTTGAGTGCGAATGCTTTACAAATTTCGGTGTAAAAGAATTTGTAGCTCCAAGTGTGAAATGAAATTTCAGTGTGAAAGCTATTCTTAGGAGTGAAAGTGGCTGCATATTTGTATGGCACGATCACAACACCATACAACGCTGATAATGACGTCGTCTGTATGGAGAAAAATATCGGTTTTCACCCAAATCAATGATGAGAGAGAGCACTGCCGTACGACGAGCGCTCACGCTCCCAGGTGTTGTTGACGACCAAAAGACCGCGTCCTGGTTCCGAGTCGACGACCGTAGTGCTCGGTGATCTCATGCGGCGAAGCAGTTTTGGTGGAGAAATCGGTGATGGCGGGAAAGCTTTTAAGCATCATGCATTGAGATGTCCCGAGCCCTGTTCCGGGTCAGGGCACCTGGTGGATGCACTGGAGACATTAATGATTGATGGCTGCCTTAAGTTGCAGTTGCTCCATTTTTCGGGAGACCTGCCATCATTAGGACTAGCTCGTACGGCATTGCAATAGATCGGAATTGCACAATTTTAGTACAAAGCATAAGTTGCATGTGTAAGGTCGAAAAGATATCACACATGTCCAAGCTAGCAGGCTCAAACAGAAACTCACACTGAAAGAACCCAGCAGAGCATGCATAGATAGGGTTTCTTAATTTGTTGGAGCTGGAACAAATAAATTCATATCACAGCAGCCTTCACTACCGGACTCAGTGAATTTGCCGAGTGCCAGGGGCACTCGGCAAAGCCCAATTTGCACTCGGCAAAGGCTTTGCCGAGTGCTGCACTCGGCAAAGAGCACACGGCAAAAAAAGAGTCGGCAAAGACGTCTTTGCCGAGTGTCTTTTATCGGGCACTCGGCAAAGCCTTTGCCGAGTGCCGACACTCGGCAAAGTTGGAACCGAAAAAAAACCCGAAAAAAATGGGAATTTTTACCCAAAAAAAATGGAATTTTTTTTAATTGGTGGAGGCCCCCACCGGTCAGCGCCCATCCATCTCCGGCTTTTTTCGCGTAAATTTCACGGCTACGCGGCCAACGGGATTCGAACCTAAGACCTCTCGCTGCGCACAAATGTCCTCTACCACTATACCACACTGTCACTTGTGTCTAGATTCCGTTTTAGTTCCCAATATATTATACTAAACCGAGTGTAAATTGCTTATTTGAGGCCCTAAATGAATTCAAATCAAAAAGTGGTCAACTACAAAGTTTCATAACTTTTTGAGATCTACAATTTTCATTTAGTAAGTTTTTCCATCCGAGGTCGTTTGAAAAATTTGAATTTTAAATTTGAGAGATTCAAACGTAGTTTTGCATGATAAGATGATTTCAAATCAAAAAGTTGTCAACTACATAGTTTCATAACTTTTGGAGATCTACAATTTTCATTTAGGAAGTTTTTTCATCCGAGGTCGTTTGAAAAATTCAAATTTTTAAATTTTCAAATTCAAACGTCGTTTTTGCATGAAAAATGATTTCAAATCAAAATGTTGCCAACTACAAAATTTCATAACTTCTCAAGATCTACAAAGTTTATTTTGGTCATTTGTTCATCCGACATAGTGGTAGTAACATTGTTCACAAATCATATATATCTCTCTTCTATTTTCATGAAATTAATATGAGAGATGTATATTTTATAAACAACGTTATTGTCGCTTTGTCAAATAAAGAAATGACAAAAATAAACTTTGTAGATCTTGAGAAGTTATACAACTTTGTAGTTGAAAAGTTTTTCATTTGAATTCATTTAGGGCCTCAAAAATTGATTCGAAAAACTGATTGCCGAGGGCCAAAAAAATACACACGGCAAAATACCCCTTTGCCGAGTGCCAAAACATAGGCACTCGGCAAAATACGGCTTTGCCGAGTGCTAGAAAAAAAGCACTCGGCAAACTGAGAGTAAATTGCTTGTTTGAGGCCCTAAATGAATTCAAATCAAAAAGTGGTCAACTACAAAGTTTCATAACTTTTTGAGATCTACAATTTTCATTTAGTAAGTTTTTCCATCCGAGGTCGTTTGAAAAATTTGAATTTTAAATTTGAGAGATTCAAACATAGTTTTGCATGATAAGATGATTTCAAATCAAAAAGTTGTCAACTACATAGTTTCATAACTTTTGGAGATCTACAATTTTCATTTAGGAAGTTTTTTCATCCGAGGTCGTTTGAAAAATTCAAATTTTAAAATTTTCAAATTTAAACATCGTTTTTGCATGACAAGATGATTTCAAATCAAAATGTTGCCAACTACAAAATTTCATAACTTATCAAGATCTACAAAGTTTATTTTGGTCATTTGTTCATCCGACATAGTGGTAGTAACATTGTTCACAAATCTTATATATGTATCTTCTACTTTTATGAAACTAATATGAGAGATATGAGAGATGTAGATTTTATGAACAACGTTATTGTCGCTTTGTCAAATGAAGAAATGACCCAAATAAACTTTGTAGATCTTGAGAAGTTATCTAACTTTGTAGTTGAAAAGTTTTCATTTGAATTCATTTAGGGCCTCAAAATTGCTTGAAAAATGATTTGCCGAGGGCAAAAAAAAATGCACACGGCAAAAAGCTTCTTTGTCGAAAGTGCCAAAACAAAGGCACTCGGCAAAATACATCTTTGCCGAGTGCGAGAAAAAACACTCGGCAAAGACGTATTTTGCCGTGTGTTTTTGTTTGCCGAGTGTATTTTATTTGGCACTTTCGGCAAAACACGGTCTTTGCCGAAAGTGCCCGATAAAATACACTCGGCAAAGCCTCTAAGACTTTCGACAAATCGCCGGTTCCAGTAGTGCTTAATTATATTACAGAGGCGCAAGTACAGGTAGAATCGAAACATGCGGCATGCATATACTTTAGTTATACATTACACTCGATCTCAACATGAATTAGATTCGTCATATCATTCACATATGCATCTTTGACCGTAAAAAGCGTAATATCCGGCATCCCCTATAGGCGTGGGACTAACGCGCGTCTGTAATATGAGTTTATAGACACGCGTTCCCAACACGCGTCGTAATAAGTCACCGATCGGGGTCACCGATCCGGAGGGGTCAACACGCGATATATAATAAGCACTTACTACAGACGCGTGTTCGAAAGGCGTGTCTGTAATTAATGAGACACTTCGTGGTATAGGAATAAGGCGCGCGTCGTGTTAGAGATATTTTATAAGAGACGTGTCTAGTGAAGGTGCGTCACACCTAATGAGTTCACGGACCTGAAAAAATTATCAAATCCCATGGACTTTGCAACTCAGTCCCAGATCCGCCTCCACCCCCCCGGTGCGTCCCTCGCCCCTCTCTCTCTCTTTCTCCAACGCCACCGCCCCATCCATCTCCGCCGCCTCCCCTCCTCTCTTCCTCCGACAATGCCACCGCCCCTTCCTCCTCCACCGTTATGCCACCATCCCCTCATCTCTGCGGTGCAGCCACCACCCCTCCACCGGTGCGGCCACAACCCCTCCTTTCCCCTCTTAGATCTAGATCTAGAAGGGTGGGGTGGTGGGGCTTCCACTGCGTCATGGCGTCCTCCCCTGATCCGTTGTTCACATCGCCGCCGCTCATGTCATGCCCGTCGTCGAGCCGCCCACGTCGGAGGGCGCAGGTACCTCGTCTTCCTCCACCACCATTGGTGCCGGAGGCACTCACAAGCCATCACCGGGAGCCACGGCGAGGGCGCAGGGGTGGTGAGGCTACGATGAGGATTAAGAGAAGGTCCTCCACGCGTCGCTGCTCCACGTGGTTGCGATTTGAACCCACTCCTCCATCTTACAGTTAGATCCATGTCCACTCAGGCGGGATCGATGTCCACTCGGCACTAGATCCATGTCCACTCAGGCAGGAGCGGCTAGATCCATGGCCGCTCAGGTCTCCTGTTGTTGCTGCGGTGGGGGACTCTGCAAGGTTTTTTATCTTACTATTCCTAGTCGATTTTATACTAGCTCGATATATGGTGCATTTGTTGATATTTTCTGTATATAGGATACCCTGTCCCTTGATATCTGGGAGAAAGGATCCTATCGAGCATTGCCAATTCAAAGCACAAGTAATTTATTTTGCATGTTAGGCTATTCTATTTACATATAATGTAAAATTCATCTGCATTAGTGAAAGCAAAGACTTTGGTTTTAGAAGAAACATGCCTAAGATAACTCCATAAGAAGTACTATTTAACATGTATTCCTCTTCTGTTTGATTCTTTTTTTACTATCCACTACTCTTATATCCTCATTGCAATATTAAGAAGTCCATGTACCGTCTACCCCCCTGTGTTGGCTGCTATTTCCAAAAGATAGCTTTTATTCATGAGGTCGCCATAATAATGTGCTCATTTTCGTGAGGAAAGACATGTTGGTTCTATTGACATGAATCAGTTAGTACCAAGGAATGCGTTTTAATCCACCATTTAAAATTTTTAGCGCCTGTAATCACTAATTGGGAATCTAGAAAAAAAAGAAAGACAATTATTATGGTTATACTTGACATTTATTCCATTAATTAAGTCTCTATTATCCCTTATAAAGCCATGAGAAGAGATGCATGTTGTATACACCATGGATTTTAGTACAACCACATAAGAAAAATTGTATAGTATACTAATATGAATGGGGCATGTGAGTTTTAAGTCAACCGATCGACTCTTGGTTATGACTAGTGGTTCATTATTAGATTTTTTTCACCGACTTTGATGTGTGACCAACAATGATGTGGATGATGATTTGTAAAAAAAAAATATGGGCATGTAGGTCC